AATCCGTCGCAGTCTAACCTGAGCTCCTCAGCGTACACCGGCAGTTATACAAGCACTCATCCTCTTCCCCCACATCACGCCGTCCCATCGCCGACAATGGTACCGGCGTCAGGGTCGGCACCTACATCTGTGCCTACACTTACGGGCGGAGGTGGGTACGACCAGCGAAGGCCTCTCCAGGTCGTGAACGACTACGCTCCCTCTCCACCGCATCCATTCGCGGCTGTGGGACCCATCCAGCCATCGGAGAAGACGCAGATCTACCTCCACCCACAGACGGGCCTCACTGTCGTCCGAGAACGCCCAGAGGCGTCAGGGTCGACCACCTACGTCCCGCGCAGTGCTGGCTCCCCTGAAGGGAGTCGATCGGCGCCGCCGACACCTGTCCCCGCCCCCGTGCCGGGCCCTGTCACGCCACCGGATGCGCCGCACATGCCTATCGTACATCAGGATGCAGGACGTGCACCGGGACCTGTCGCTGGCGCAGGAGCGCAGAGCGATGCGCCGCCGGCGTATTCTGAGTGAGCGGTCGTCTTGAATGTTGCTACGTTATGGCCTGGCCTGCGCTGTTGGCTTTTGGACGCTTGGCCGTCTCTGTTCCTGCGTTGTCAACGTTGCCGTGACGTTATGTATCCTGCGGACCGTCCTTTTTATCGCGTGGTATTCTGCTATAACGAGACACAGCCTCAAGATAACACAGGTCGGGCGCTAGACGCAGGAGGCGCTTGCGTACTCCTACGCTGCAGCAGATGCTGCAGACAGATCATATAAGCTCATTTGTATCCTCTCTGAGACTTTTCTTACGTGCACATTGCTGGGCAATCATTATTATGAAAAGGTACTGTACCGAGTTAGAGCTGAACGGACTTGTGCTCGATTACGTAATTCATCCATAAGAGGCAGCTGTTGTCGTTCGGCGACAACACCTATTGTCCTCGCTTGGGCGGGATAACGAACAATAGCGTCGGGGACAATGCAACCGCCAGCCTTTTGACTCAATATAAAGGGCGTCGGGCGGCGCATCGCGTACGGTAACCTCTCGAATAGGTTTTCTTCTGCTCTTTCCTTACGACCTCCACTCACTGGTGCTGGGACACCTCTTCCTAGAGTCTCCTTGCTTTCTGTCGCGTCTCAGAAGCCTTTGTCGTTCCTTGCATTCTCAAGCAACACTAGAACTTTTCCATCCTTCAAGGCAGTCAACTGTCGAAAATCCCAGTCGTCCCAGCTAATAGACCTTGCTATGCTGCCCCCTCGTGCATGTAAGTAGCCCTCAGTATGCGGATCTTCGTAGATACCGACCACAGGTGTCTTGCCAGACTTCTTCATCGGCCTTAATGGAGTCCGAGCCCTCAGTATCATAGCCCTGCTTCTGGTTCTTGCAAGCAGCATCTTTGTACTGGTGAATGACGTGGAGGCAGTCAACCGCTCCATGAAATCGGACGTCGACATGACAGACTGTGATTACATCGAGTGCGTGCTCTCCACTTCACAACAAACCTCACCAGAAGCACATCTAACTGCGCCACAGAGGGAGTACGGTGCCTAACCAACCCGCGGGCGTTTTCTGGGCAGTCGTCAACCGGCTTCTCAATATATTCCAAGTCATCGTCCTCATTCTCTCCGAAGTCGGCTGGCCCGCGGCCTTCTTCGAGCGGTACTTCCCCGTGCTGGGGCCCAACTTCGGCCTCGGGGCGCTGGGCATCTTCCAGTGCCTGATCGGCGCGACGATCCTGTCGCACCACGTCGACGACTTCACGCTCGTCGCCGCGTTCTTCCTCTTCGCCATCGGCTGCCTCAACATGCTCATCGGCCTCATCTTCCGTGAGAGAGCGAAGGAGAAGCGCTCCATCATGTCCTGGCGCGCCGAAGCCAAGGGCGTGCTCCCGACGCACAAGGACATGCGCCCGCCGTTCGCGCGCCCCGCGTCGTCCTTTGTGAATAACATTTTCAAGGGCGGCGAAAAGGCGCAGCCGGATGAGTTTGGACAAAAGGGGTACGGCTTCGGACGCCAGGGCGAGAAGGCGGCAGGACTGAAGGGTATGTCGAAATCCTGCAGCTCATGCACTACATCCGTCGCGAACTCAGGCTCATGACCGCCCCAAAGGTTTCTTGATCTCGAAGCCTCTCGAAAGCCTGCCGCGTTACGCCCCACCGCCTCCTCGTTCTGACAGCTCAAGTTCTCGCGCTGGTACGCCAGAGCCGACTTTCAAATCAAGCGCTACCGCGATCTAAGCCTGGAAAAGACGCACACGTAGCAGACATGACGACTTACGACCGCCGGACATCCTCCGTCTGTGACATTCGCTGACCTTGCACGTTGACTGTATCGTTATAGTAGCATCGCCTGTAGAACGGACTTTGATCTTACTGTACATGACCACGAAGTAATCCGAGTATGCGAAGTTGTACCGGTTATCATGCATACTGAGGTATACCTGGAACCTTAATCAGAAAGATCCATATCTTCGCCATCGCTAGGCAGCAGTGTAGACGCAGAGGGGAGTAATGAGGGTACCTCAGGACTGGAAGGAAGAGGTGGAGGCTCTGACGGCGGTAATGGGGGCGGTGAATCGGTAGGTTCAGGTGCCACTGGTGGTTCAGTGATAGAGGTGGGAGGCGATTGCGAAGGAGATATGCTCAAGCTGTGCGCCACGTTCCGTTTTATTTTATCGGAAGACCCAGCGAGGATCCTCCGCCAGAGTGCTTGACGGTCGTCTGAGTAGGTAGAGCTGACGACGCTTTCGTCTGACCCGACGGCAGGTAGGCTTGAGCCCTTGTATACCGGAAGCTTGGACCATAGGAAGTACGTGTCGGGGTAGGTCGCCCAACGACGAGACGTCGCTGAAGCTTCAGGCGAATCGTCGTCTTCCTCTGAGCATGCCTCGACGTCATGATTGGTGACTCGTTGTGGCACAGCCAAGCGCTCTTCTCCTTCGTCGCCGACGATAGTGAACTCGAATGCTTCGTCAGAGTCGCTGACAGCATCCTCAGCTATGAGCTGCCAGACACGTTCCCGAGGGTCCCGCGTACCGACCCATCCCGGAGGATAGCCCCATGACGCCATGTTTCGTAACCACTCCACACGTTCTCCGGGGTCCCCATCGCCCAAACCTAAGGCTTCTCGCAGGAGCGTACCCTTGATTTGCCCAGGCTCAAATTCGTCCAACCATTGAAGTCTCTGTTGTCGCCAGCGCTCGACTTCATGGAAGCGCCGGAATGGCCCACTGGATTCCCCGTGATAAAAGCTGAAAAGCTGGCGAGAAAGGGAGACGAGGTTACGGTCTATCGGTTCCGGGCAAGCGGAGAGGACGTGGTCCGGGGAGCCGCAATTGAAGCACCGTCGCACATGCGCAGACTCTTCCTCACCGCTAGCATTATCTTCACCTCCTCGCCATGGCGGACGTACAACGGCGCACTCAGCAGGGCGCCGTCAATTGAAGACGCGTCAACTAGTCCTCCTTTGTCCAGGGTATCCGCTCCCATGTATCCAATGCTTGGTTGACCGTCTGCGCGTCCCATCGACCCTTCGCGACTTCCCTGCCCTCCAGATGCAGCGCCGGGATCCAGTAGACATACTTGCGCTTCCAGCGCTCCTGGCCCGGGTCCTGGATATTGATCGTCTCGAGCTCGAACGCGCGCTGCTGCCTGACCTTGGCGAGCTCCGCCTTCGCTATCTGTATAGCATATCCACTTTGAGTACATTTGCTGTTCCAAACGCAGGCCAAATGGACATACATCGCACAGGGAGCAATTGGGGCCAGAGAACAGGGTCAGGCGGGCAATGCGTCCTATGCTGCTGCGGGCTGCCATGCAAGTGGTCACTCTGCACGCTAGGAGCTGGATCTGGATGAAGCTCGTCAATTCATTCCTCTGTGAACGTACAGTGTGTAGCTGCCACAAACCTCCAAAATCCAGATGTGATGGATGGCGACAGGTGATAGCCAACGAAGAGGGACAGTCACTAGAACAGCTAGAGGGACTTCGCAGCTAACCGTCACCGACACTCGTTGACGGGCTGACATCCGTTATTGATCAAAACGATGCCAGACGCATCTTCAAGGCGCTATAGCCAAGTGGTTACGGCGACAGATTAGAAATCTGTTCTCCTTTGGAGGCGCAGGTTCGAATCCTGCTGGCGTCGAGTAAAGTTTTTAGCAGTCCAGCGACTGGATGGCTCAGTGTGTACTGTGGTACAGGAGGCGATAGGCCACTACGTAGGAAAGGCAGCACAAGTACTACATTGTAACATGCGCTCCCTTGCTGCTGTTGTCCCTAACCAAATCCCATTCGAAGTGCTATACTTGAGCGGCAGGAGTCGATTCTCAGAATTCGCATGGTAGGATCTAGCAATAAGATTACTGTTATGGCCCCAGAGTTTGCGCGCTTCTCCAGGAGATGCGAATATCTCAGGCCCACCACTGGAAACCTGCCTCCAGTTCTCGCAGACTAGCGTCCGTAGGTGTCATGTGAAGGCTACAGAAACAAAGTAGCAATAGAACGCACGGAAGAGTCTGAAGGCGCAAGACCCCAGTTGTTGCGCACCCATCGAAAGGTCGTATCACGGCTATCTCCTCTTTCTCAACATCAAGTTATTGCCCTTTTCTCGTGTAGAAACACACCTAAACACTGTGATAACATTCTGTAGAAGTATCAAAATAAAACAATGCAGTAGAAGTGGCATATGGATTGTCGAAGCCAGTTCACACCGTACCACCTGGCTTCGCAACACCCTAACATCCTCAAAGCTGCCGCTTTTTTTGTGCTAACTGTTGCGCCTGGCACGTACGACCTCAGCGTAGCTATCCTGCACATCAGTGTGGGCTACGGAAGGTTTCAGCAGGATGTATCAGCCAATGCGCAAACTCTGGGGTCGGTTCGGCGCCTGCGCAAACTCCGGGGCCATAGCAGTAAGTCTTCACGCGTCGATCTCTCGAGGTACAATACTGGATTGCTTGGCAAAACTTACAGTAGCGATCGGCCGATGCATCGACCCGCCAAAAGGGCCTGGCCGGGAATTGAACCCGGGACCTCCTCCAGGTATGCTTTATAGCCCTAAGAAGGAATCATACTACTAGACCACCAGGCCTTTTCTTCAACATCCCACTTACTATCACATTGCAGTCGCAGTTACTAAACATCTGCACAAAACTGTATGATCTCCTCCGGAGAGTGCGACATGACAAGACTGCTATGATACAGCGCGAGGGTGACAACAATACAGAGCATGAGGACGATAGACGAAAGGCAAGGTCTATGAGAACGAGTCCAATGCTTGGTCCCATGAGAGCGTCCCAGACGGTCGAGGCGGATCACAGCTTCTCCAGCAGTCCCCGGAGCAAATCCTGGTTGGAAGCCGCGCTGCTGTCCTTTTCCAAGGCTTTGCTTTTCTTCTCCAGAGAGGCGATTGTTCGTTCCATATCCGCAGGCAGGGCCTCGAGAGCAGCGGTGGCACGAGCAGCTTTGAGGTAGCGTCAGCCATGAGATCAGGGCCTAGTGAGCTATGAACCAAGTCGGAGAAGGAATAGTTACCACAGCGGTCGACTTCATCCTGAAGGGCAGACCAGAGTTTCTTCCTATGTTCATAGGCTTCCTCGAGCTCTGACATGGTCTTCGCGATGCTCAGCTGCGCGGGCGCATCCAGTTTGGGTTCCGGAGACGGAGCGCGCGGATGTTCAAAAGCGCACCTGGGACTGAGTGTGCGCCGCTCTGATTTCATCTTCGTCTCTCAAAGCAATCCGCTCTACTTTCTTGCACACCTCGTCGAAGGTGAGTAATCCAGCGCCAAATTCTAGGTCGACTGATCCGAGCGTGCGCGGTAGCGAACGTCGTCAGAACGTACAAATCATGGGCGTTCAGGAGTCCATGCGCACCTTTGTCTTCCAAGACGGCGTGGACGTCCTTGATGTGACTATATGCGGGCAAGAGCGTATCGGCGAGGTACTGCTTGAGCGCGGCGCCTTGCGCTGCCATGGGCACTTTGAGCTTCTCGACCATTTCGAGAAGCTCATCATCCGGATCCTGTCCCGGCGAGCTGAGGATGCGTGTAAGCAGTGCACACCTTACATGTATGGTGACTTCTGCAGTGTGCTACAGTACTCGCCTGTCCTGAAACATGGCGACTAGGGTGGCCTCATCATCCCAGCCAGACATGTCGGCATCTTCGTGCACATTTCGTGGTCTTGAGGAACCCAGAGAAGGATCTGCGAGTGACCAACTGGGCACGGACGGTCGATGGGGATCACGCGAGTCTCCACATAGAAGTTCGGTCTCTTCCTCTTCAGGTTCTTCCCTGATGGTGGAAAGTTGGGTCCTGGATTGGAGATAGCGATTGGTGTTAGTCGAATATAGTCGCGACCGCAGGGCGGGGCTTCGTGGCACGCTAGGTTTGGCGAGGAAGAGAGGCTTCTGATGCAGGGGCGCACGGGTGGCTGCGGTCCGTCGCTCAGAGATTGGCCTGTGATGTTCGAAGAGGTTGAAGGCGGAAGCTTACCGTAACGCGTGTGCTTGTGCACGCTATTCGTGGCGTGGGCGGCGTGCTGGATGAGGAGGGTGTTGTGTCTGGCCATGTCGCGTCGCGTGTATAACGGCTGAGAGCTCGGGGACTCGAGCAGAGCAATCGAAGGTCACGGTCATGCCCAGTGGGTCTTTGAGCGAGGGGACATTCGAAGTCCGCATCGAACCTCCCAAAGAGGGCAAGGGCGATAGACGCCCAAGGGGCATCATTCGGGGAGGGAGACGTTCCCACGACCTCAGTCTCTCTTCTCTCCGTGCCAGTCTCACCCCTCTCCAGGAGCGCGGCTTGCCTTCCCTTCTTCTCTTCCTCCCCGTCCTCCGTCTCCCGCCCTTCAAGCTTCTTCTCCCGAGTCCGGCCTCTCCCCACCGTTCTCGCCAGCTTTCTTCTCTTCGTCCTCTACCACCACTTCTTCCGACCTTTCTCGCTAGAGGAAGTCCTGCCATCGCGCCAACATGAGCGGCCGCGTACAGAAGCAGTCCATGTCGGAGCTCAAGCTTCGCAGGCTGACGGAGCACAACCAACGGCTGAGGGAGGACCTAGCACGGCCGCGGATACGGGTCAGCGAGGCGAGCAAGAGGTGAGCAAACGAATGCACCTCATTTCCCTTGAGCAACCCTACTCACACGAAACCCTCTTACAGCTTGATTAACTATTGCAAGTCAACACCAGACCACCTTGTGAGTATCAAATTCGACGACATGCATTCTCTGTTGGCACCACACATCTTCCTGAGAGTGCTTCAAATCCAATCAGAGGGTCCTCAGAAAGCGAGAACCAGCTCTGGAAGTTTTATGGCCTTGATGCCCTACTTCTGCTTGTCTGCCACTGAAGTTTCCTCGCGCCAAAATCGCGTTCCCCGAGCAAGATGCTGCTCACTACGAGGGCTCACCTCTGTTGCCTAATCTCAGCATCTCACGGTGCTATCCTTTCGCACTGCGGCGCTGAATCGGACAGTCGAGACTGTCTGGTGCTTGTCTCGACCGGTCGGCCAGACTTTAAAAGCGCCATAGAGGCGGAAGATCAGGCAGACGTCAGACCATGCAGTCATTTCGCCCCAGTTTGCTTCTTGATCCGCTGCGCTCTGCATTCGAAGAGCCGCAGCACTGCATTGCCAGCTGCAATTCGGTCCCTGTTAATCGGAAAATCGTTGTGATGCTGGGCTTGGGACTGATCTCTTGTTATTTGCAGATCCCGTCTGTCTGGGGACCCGTGAGCAAAGCGGACGATCCCTTCGGTCCTCCAGCTACCGGCTGCAACTGCGTCGTCATGTGACGACCCGCCAACTGCCGCCATCTTCTTGGTGTCTACCGGCCTTGCACGAAGTACCCTGAGACACCCGGATCACCCTCACCCGAAGGAGATACAGGCGACATTAGGCCGGGGACGAAAATGCGACATGGTGTAAGAGGGGTTCGCGCCCATGTCTGCTCTCGCTATCCGTCGCCTGCTAGCGCGCAAGAAAAGAGCTTGTCTACCCGCCTAGAGTTTTTCCCTCCCCTTTCCTGCGTTGCTCTGTCTTCGCCCATCCTGTTGACTTTTCCTGCTGCCCAGCACACCGCCAGACATATGCTTAGCTCGTGAATTTTTATCGCCCTATCTAGCGTACACCCCGCCGCTCCTTTCGCATCCCGCGCCTCCGCAGCTCGAGTCTCGCACGCTACTACTTCCTACGCTGATCCCACAACTTCTTTTACATGGCATACATAGTATATACCTCGCATCGGAAATACCTTCTCCCGTCCGTCGTCGTCGTCGTCGTCTGTCGCGCAACGCATCGCAGCTGAAATAAGTATCGCTTTTCGTTACCGTGCAATGTGCGTTTGGAGTTGGCTCGTGATGGTCCTTGCGCCCGATCTATCCAAGGTACATGAGGCTTTGAGAGTCTTGCTATATATGATACATCCACAGTAGTAAGTATGTGCTGTCCAGAATCAAATGTTTCCCTGTATGCCCCGTGCGAGGTGCTCCCCGAACGTTGACTAGCTTTTGTAGACCAGTGGCTTTGCCACTCGTAGGTACCTATAGCTCAGTCTTATCTAAAAGAGTGTTCTCTGACAATGACCTGTGTAATCTCGTGATGACGACATCACGTACCATGACAAACTCTCACAAACCCCTTGACGCTACCTTGCTAGTAGGCACACATGGTACTCGCCTGACCTGCAGCCTCTCTTTGCCAAACCTGACCCTAGCCCCACAATGATACCTATGATGTCCCCACCTATGATAGTGTGACTGGACAATGAAAACTGTACCAAGGAAATTGTTGGTATGGTGGCCCAGCTTACCTGGAAGGGTCTGTGAGAAGTCACATGCAACCCCGTGAATGACATTCACCTGCTCAGTTCCGAGAGCTCATGTCCGATGAAGAACTGGCATAAGAAGAAGAATCTTGCACACACCTGATTTATCCTCAATATTAACCTGACCCAATACAGACATATATCAAGCACCTACTCATGAAGGTTGAACCTTGAAGGCTGTGAGCTGCACAAGCAAGATCTTCAGTCTGTGAGTGAGAGATTACAGTATTTTCTAGGTAGTGACCATAAACTGTACAAAGTTTGGTTCCGAATGATGAAGGCACTGTAGAGATGGCAGTGAAATATGAGTATGCAATACCCTTGAGGCAGGACTTTTGAGTGCCACCGTATAGGATGTAAGCTACCATCACTCACAATACACACTTCTGCTACTCCATAACTCGTACCTCCCGACACTAGTAAGTGCAGTTACATATATTGCAGCATCTCTGCTGCACCCTGCTCGCATAGGAAAATGAGACATTGCTTGGACCATAGAGCTTCTCGAGCTTCTTTCTAACCAGATAGAAGAATTGTCTACACAAGAGACAAGAGCTCTTGGAGGGAGCAGTCTGAACAAACGGATCCGGACAACCCACCCGGCCCCAAAGGGCCAGGCGGAGAGTCCGGACCAAACCGTGACAGATGGTTGACCTGGCCGAATGTCCGGACTTCCTGGCGAAAAGTTGTCTGGACACGGACGGCCAGCTACATATGCGGGTGCCTATCGGCTGGCCTTTATTGGCATTATCAGGCGTCCTGTACCTAGCCACCTTTCCTGTTGTGATCGCACCTTCGCTGAGGTACAAGGATATGGGAATCTCATCGGGATGCCGTGGTGGCATGCAAACCTCCGCCATCGCCTTCTAAGCTTGTTGGGAACCTGCTGCATCAGAGGACGGGCAGACCGGGCGGTGTTCGTTCAACCGGAGCCGGCACCAACGGCTGATCTCAGGATCTAGTCACAATAATGGGACGTGATGTACAAGTCGCGCACGGTGCAATAAAATGATCAGGCTCACCTGTCTCCGAAGCAGCCCATGCCGTTGATTTGTGGGTTCAGCATGCTCACATGCGTCCCAACTATCACGGCGCAGAGCGGGGAAATAGTCTCGTGGTGTCGCACTCATCAAGAGGCCAGGGACGGCACACACGCCGTACGCAAATAAACAAGATGGGTCGAGAAGCTGGTGGGGAGCGCGATTTTGGGCGGCGAGGGCACTTCCTGCCGATGTATATCTTATGAGGCATAGTATGCACAATTCGAAC